TGGATTCGTTTCTAGAGGAAGAGGCGACATAGTAGTGGTGTACACACTCGCCATCGGGGCGTTTGCTGCGAGGTTTGCTGGACATTAAAACTTGCACTTGCAAATAAAATAAACTGAATAAACTGAAAACTGTGCATTGAAATATCCAGTCGAACACGGAAAACTGTGCATTGAAATATCCAGTCGAACACTGAAAACTGTGCAATATCATGTTGAGCACTTGCGTGTGCACGCCAGTTGAACACTTAATTTATCAGTGTGATCATTGAGCAAATATGAAATGTCCATTTGGACAGTCCGATGTACTGTTGCACGCGCAACAGTGTTTCTCTCTTCTTGTCTACCCCTTTAAGGCACTACGGCCTGCCCTGCTGCACCCCAAGCCAGTAGGCATCATCCAGAAAGTACATCGTACATTCGCCGTTTACGTAAGTGCCAAGTTTAGGTGTGCAAGCTCTCTTAACGCCTGATAGGTAGGCAACACCCCGCCTGCAGTGCATGCGTGTACTGCGGGTTTGCCTACCCGGAGCCTCGCAGGCGCCGAGCTAAGCTTCCACCGTAATTTGCCGAATGAATTGGACAGAAACGGACGTTCTTTCTGGACGATACTATGAACGCACAAAACTGAACGGAAACACGCCAAACAGACAGAATTTGAATCCGTAGGACATATTTTTTCTGACAAATTTATTCCTTTCACAAAACAACTTCTGACACAACATCTTCTCTTCCGGTTTAAACGCTAGAACTGCTAAATTGGTGTCGTCCTACGAGTATAGTCTACGACGCATCATCGACACTATCAACAACGAACTATGACGACCGAAAGACCATCGTATCTCCTAAATTGATGTCAAGCAAGCATGTCATTAGGTATAAGGATTATCTGAAATCGAACACTAATCGAATGGCTGCGCGTCTATCCAGCGCCCTGCTCGCAGTGTCGGTGCTGGCGGGCGGCTCGTCGCTGGCTTTATGGCGCGGCGCTGGCCCGGGGCCGGCCGGCCGGCGGGCGGCGAGCGGTACTGCATTGGCAGCGCATTGGGTTACCATTGGGGAGCGCTATGCGGCGCTGCGCCACGCCAGGTTCCGACAAGGGCTGTTGTTGTGACTTTCACTCGCGAGTGTGTGTGTGTGTGTGTGTGTGTGTGTGTGTGCCTGTGCCTTGTATCGATGGTCTTTAGTTTGGGCATGCCGCCGGCCCCGAGCTCACATGCTCAACTTCCTAGAGTTGTGCCAGTCGCAGTAATTTGGAGCTCGTCTATGGAGAATAGTGGGGCCGGTTTACAACAGCGCCTCGCGCGAACTGTTGTGGGCTCTCGTCTGGACACCGGGAGGGAATAAAAGGCAAACACGGAGAAGCTCGCGTCTCTCTCCTTAACTCCTCTATGAAGCGGTCAGCCCGGGGCTGTTATCGTCGTTAATGACCCTGCTGCAGACCAACCGCGAGGTGAACCCCTCTCAGCCTCCCCCCCTCTCTCTGCATTGATGACAGGGAAGTCGTTGGAGAGCAATTAAAGCGCGTGCCCGCGATCTAATAGTGATGAATGCCGCACCTAAACGTTTAGCAATGACGAGTGGTCTGACCCCCTAATAACGTTGTCAGCAGAGGTAAACGTTTCGTGAAACGTTTCTATCCGCCGCAGCCGTGTTGCTCCTGCTTAGGTGTGTTCGAGTGTTGCTATTTCGCCCATAGTATAGTAGGACAGAATTGTCGTACGACATTCGTTGAACATTCAAATTAAAGATTCAGCCTACCGGTATCAGCGCGATATGCGAAAAGAGATTCTATAGCTAAATTATCTATTTTCACTCCAAACCCAAACCAAAAACTTGACCGGCCTGCTATCCAGCGACTAGTTTTGCATGCAAGTAAATTCGCAAGCTACTAGAGAAATGCTTAGCCATTCATAGAGCTGGCGCACCGACCAACCGGTCTGCTATATCACTATCCAGTTCTTTCACCCTCTGCTTGTGACGTCCGTTGGCTTTAGAGTGTAAGGGCTGATGATTTGCTCTTTTTGCGGTTGGTCTACGATGTCGGTCGCCTGCCTGTACCCCTTTGCCGCCATACCAAACGACCTGGTCCTGAGTGTAACGCCCTTCTTCCTGCACCTGTTCAAGGCGGCGGGCCGCGGCGGGCCGCACTGTGTCGCCCTGCTTACGGCGCCGGCCCCTAATGGCACGCCTTATTCGCACTCGCCGCCTCATTATGCCCCGCGGCGCATCAGGCGCTGCAGCGGGGCTGTTCTCACGCCGCGAGGCGCAACCGGCAGCCGCCCGAGAGTTATTTGCAGAAACAGTTGGCGAAGACACGCGAAATTTCAGTGGTCATTATCTTGCCTCCAGTACACTACAGTAAAAAATCAACAACAACAAAAACATGACATCTGATTGAGGATGATAAAATTTGTAGTTTGAGAACGGGTAAAAGTTTCATCTTTGGCGGGTCACATCCAGAGAGCAAACGTCCACTGCAACTCCTGGCAACTCCCTGAAGGGTTGGGAAAAAAAGGTGTTGTCCGGTAAACTTGAAAATTCTTCGAAACTTAATACCAGTTTCAGCCGATGAGTTAAAGATGGCATTCAGAACGAATTCAGTCCGTTTTCAAATGGTGTGCTAATTATGGGGTGTTTTGTTGTTTTTTGGTGGCTAGGTTTGTTCCTTTTCATCTGAGCATTTTTTTTCGGGTACTGATGTTTGCCCCCTTCCCACTAACGTTTGCCGCTCGCTCACTGAAACGATTGTTGAAATGTCATACGCATAAAGAAAGACTCACACGCGCAGGCAGTCCCCCAGTTAAATGTGTGCAGAGCGCTGTGCTCGTTATGCGTTCGTGATTATTTTGATGGTAATGGCGGCTAAACAAGTTCCATTTCGGTTCGCCATTCTTCTTGTGCTCCCATGCGGGCCGGGGGCTGCGCCGGGCTGCGCGCGCCTAGTCCAGCCGGCGCACCGCGGCCCCAACTGGACCTGCTGTTGCATAGCGCGCGAGCTGAACCGGTCGGCGGGCCCGGCCCGGCTGGGGGCTGGGCAGTCCTGTCGAAAGGACACCACGCCTTTACCGTATTTAATAAAACGAGGAAATCTGCTGCTGTGCAGCCATAAATATTTGCGCGTTTTGTACAGAAGTCTGTGTGGACTTAATCGAGACCATCGTGATATTTCTCAACGAAACGTTTGGCATGGTGTCGGCACCGCTCTCTGGAAATCCAGTTTGGCGAAACAATCAGCAGTTAGTCTCCTTAATACTGTAGAACATGCTTCGTCTGTGGCTCAAATGTGCGGTTGTTGTTACTATCATCTCATTTTCGTGTCTCTTTTCTGGCACTGTTGCAGCACTGCAGCTTTGATCTGATAACCGACCCACGTCGGTCGGCTAATTACCCAATAAATATAGCAGCCGTGTGTCCGAGCGAGAGGCATGACCACCAAATAGGGCGGTGATGCGACAGGACAATCGGCACGGGGCGCGGGTCTCCAGTGTCTCCAGCTTGACGGGGGGCTATAAATTTATTGCACCCGTCTGATCGGCTTGCATGACGGACTCTAGTCGGCCGAGAGCAGCATTGTGGTTGCGGTCAGAGGAGGGTGAAGCGTTCGTTCTCATGGTTGCGGACGGGGTCAGTCGCCTCGGTGCAAACCCTCCCGAAATGCTGCCGTCCGGTTGACGTTGCATGTGACGTTGCGCGCGAGTCGTCTGAAGCGAGCAGCTGCCCCGTGAGACCATCACCCTTAGGACCAATTACCTCACAGGGGATGTCGGTCGTCGGTAGGTTTGGGAGGAGGCTTTTAAGCCTAGGCAAGTGTGTGTGTGTGTGTGTGTGTGTGTGTGTGTGTGTGTGGTGTTCCCGTGAGGAAACGAGGCTCCCTGCTGTGGCATTGTGTGCGTGTCTGTCCAATTGTACGTGTGAGGGAGCGGGGGGCTAATCGCAAACTCCCAACGAGTTACCTCCTCGTTAGAGCCGTGTGTACCTTAGTTTCGACGGCAGGGCAGGGCTGCGCTGGTGTGGCGTGAGGCTGCCAGGCTGCCGCGTGTCTAATGCTCTAATCCCTCCCCCGCCCGTCGCCTTGTCAACTTCTCGCAGACCTCCACCTTCACACTCCCATGACCATCATTTGTACGTTTTCCTCCTTTAATTTTTTTATTTCTTCTTTCGCTAGTTCACACCAACTTCTGTCGTAGACGCACTTCATTAAGGGTCCTCTGCTTCCGTAGACCACTTTTTTTATTGAGACGTGTAGTATAGTTTCTTGGTCTGATCCCCTATTTAGTTGTTATCCCGTACTTGTTTGAAGTGTTGTTGTACTACAGTTAAATTTGCAGAGCGATACTATCGTTGGCCGGCAATTGCTCAGACAATAACAATAAATGGAAGCCCGCGCGCTTACCTGCTGCGGTGGTCGAACTTGCCCATGACCCCCGACCACCGGTATTCATGGCTCGTCCTAAAAGTCGCCGAGAAAATAAATCAGGTGCTGGGCGCCTCGGCCTTTGCCTTGGCGTGGCGTCGCGTAGCGCCACCGCCCCACGGCGCCGCGCTTGTGGTCGAGAGACAAACGGACCGTAATCCATTTAGCGACGCGCTCTGCCCTCCTGGCGGCGCCTGTAGGCCGGCGGCGGCGCCTTCGACTGTGAGAAGGGAAACGACCTTAGACCGCACCTGGCGTGGCGTGGCGCGGTGTCACGTGCTGGCGTGGGGAGGCGCGGCGTCAAGTCCATGGGAACTTGTGTCAGTGTCACAGCCATACCGCACTGCTAAAAGCTTACGGTGAATATCACCTTAAGCTCCAGTGAAATTCGCCGTAAGCTTTTTAAAGTGCGTGGTGTGGGCTGCGTTTTACAGTCTCATACACTTAAAATAATTTACCTAACATGCTGAGCTCTGAAGAATGTTCTCGTCCAGTAGTCCCTCTTGTTGTCCAGGAAAAAAAGAAAAACACAAATAGAACAACAAATCAAATTAATTAATTGGGTTTTCTTTTTTCGTTTCCGCAGGTGAGCGGCAGTCGCTGTTAGACCAGCGGGAACTCGAAGGCTGGTGGAGATGTACTCAGTGAGTCTGGGTATTCAAGGTAACATCTCGCTCTGCAAATAAGCAACAATAATTGGCCGGTATGTCGCGCGGCCTGGACGGAATGCAGTCATTTACGCCGGGAGACCTGAGAGATAAATCTGGTGCACCATTTGCCCGGGGTTTTTTTCAAGCATGAAAAATTTACGTTATCTTCGTGGCTGTCGTACGAAGCGCACGATCCTCATCTGCTTTCGATCCGAAGGTTGTTGAACTATTCTTCACCCTAAAACCAGCTCTTTGACATGCAATGCAAGCACCAAAACACCGGTTCAAGGACCACTGTGAAAAACATATTTGTACATGTACGATATATTTTGTAATTTGCCATTACACTCAGAGTCGTTCATGTAAGTACAACCCCCTACTGTCACTCGATATTCGATTCCAAGTCGATACATAGGGCTAGTAAATTGTACAATTTTAGATTGTACTTGTACAACTTCTTCCATGAAAAATTGTCCTGCACCCGGTACGACAATTTTCACAGTGACGGGGGTAGGGAAAAACACATGGGGCGTCCTCGAATCGGTGCCTTGGTTCTTGAACATCAAGGAACTGGAACTGCTTTTACCGTGTTGTTCCAGAATGAGGAGAAACACCTACCCCCCTCCAAATCAATCCAACGTTTAGTGGCCTTTTCTAGACCCCCTCAAGATTGAGATTTATTCCCTCGTATCTAAAGTAACAAATCCATACACATTTCTATTTGTCCTAATTCCATTCTTTCCGTTAAGTGTTTGTTTGCTCTCTGGCGTTGGTTTCTTTCACTGCTTCTCCGACCGGTGTAACTCGCGCGATTCCGCGTCGAATCTCCCGCTGCCGCCACATCGTAAACATTTATACGCGCCCATTTCCCCTTAAAGGCGCAGCGAAGACGAGGTAAAGGTGAATCTCAATCTTTAAATGCATACTGCGGAATTAACGCAGTTTTGGCTCTGCTTTCTGTTCTCGATCCGAATTCGAGGCTTAGCTGCTTTGCTGTTGAGGTAGACATAGGCCGGCGTCATTAGGCCTATGTACGCTCCAAATCTGGGGTGTCCAGCAGCTGTGCGACTTACGTCTCGCACTTTTGCAGGACACCTTGACTTTTTGCACCCTTTTCCTGAAGAGGGGCCCAGGCAAGCGGTGTCCAATAATAAGAGGGCACCTTACTTTGAGTTTATAGCTGCGCAAATAGAGTAGTATTGCATACGTTAGGAGGTCTTCCACACGCGCAAAGAGAGGCTTAACGATCACAAGAGCACATGAGGTGCACCTGTATCGTTACGTCACGCCGGATTCGTCTCATCCTGCGCAAGGTCGGGGCACCTACCTGCCGGGTACTTGGCCGGACACCTGCCCGGGCGTGCAGGTTGGGGTACCCGTCAGCTGCCACCCGCAGAACAAAAGAGGCTGCCCCCCTTTTGTCCGCTTGAAATCAATAATCACCAGGAAGATAGGATCGCTGCGGCGCGCGGCCGTGTCTGCCTGCGCAGCTTGCGCGCCCAATGGGTGGTCGACCACCGGGATCACGACGACCGGGGATGGGGAGGGGAGTGGAGGGGAGAGCTACATTTCTTTGCATTACGCGGCTCATAAGTCGATCACCGGCGTCGGGTGACTTGTCGAGGAAAAAGAATAACAGCGTTAATCTCGTTTTACACCGGGTTTGTTGTGGACATGTATTGAGTATTTGGTGCATGCGCCCTCTATCTTTGCGTTATTTACTGAAAACCTTCCCACCGAGAAGGTAGTGAAATGGCCGTATGTGGGTATTCAGTTAATACTTATTATATTTTCTCACCGGTTCTCACACTCTAAATGGGAAACGGCAATTTCTTATCCATCCAAGATGTGTTCTGAGCACGCTTTAATTTGGTTAAAATTTGTATTTGAAAAGCTAGCCTAAGTACAAATAAACTATATTTGGTATGCCTAGTTTAGAGACAAACTTGCATCTGATTGAGATGCCCATGGACAAACCCAGACTGGTCGAACAAAATTTGAAGGTGGGTATCAAAAGTTCAATAGCTGCAACGGAACATTTCTCTCAGCGCGACGGATGCAAAATTCTCTTTTCCCATTTAGAGTGCATCTGGGTTTCAAGAGTGCTCCGGAACACATCACGGCGCAGCACTGACGTGAGTTCTCCCCCGCCCCGCCTTTCGCCCCGGCCGGACCCGCCTGTTCACCTGCCGCCTTCGCCCCGCGGGTCCGCGGGAAGAGCGATGGGGGAGTCTGTCGCGCGCTGCTTCCGCGCGCCGCATGTCGCGTCGTTACGTGCGTGGACGTGCAGCACGCACTTACTTGCTGAACATACCTCCGGACAAACTTCAGGCTTCACATAGCATATTATTAAATAAAATAGTTGAGCGAATATGAGAATGGATTCTAAATTAATTCTAGCGGCGATCATGGTGAAAAACAATACATTTGCTAAATCAACATGCAATGTTTTCATAAAATGCCATAATACTAGATGGCAACAAACTTCCCATGAGCTTAGATCCTCCATTATTTTACTCCAAAAAATAATAAAACTCACGAAAAAAAGAAACTTCAGGAAGGCGCAAGTCTATGTAGGAAGAGTTTAACTATGGTGTTAGAGAAAGCAAAACTCCCTTTGCCACTTTCACACTAAAAGTTAAAGATAATCAAGATTTGCGCAAATCCCGCATCGGGGATGGGTAGTTGTAGCAGGGGAGCGAAGACGTATCTACACGCTAATTCGCAAACTTGCGCGCGCATTTACTTTGGACGTAACCCATACAGCACAACGTGTCGCGCTTACATCATAATTACCTGGCCTGCCCGCCGTGCTGCTCGCCCAGCCGGTCGGGGGAGGGGGCGGGGGCCGGCCGCCCCGCTCGGCTCGGCTCGCTGGACACCATTCGCCCGGGCCATTTGCCGCGCGGCAGCCCCGCTTTTTGGGGCCATCTGGGCCGGCGCTGTGCAACATCCACCCGCACACCTCCCCTGGCACCGTTGGCGGGCCAAAAGGCGAGCCAAAAGGACGTTCTCTAGCCTGGCCCGGCGCCCAAGCGACGTCGCTTATGAGGCCTTTTGACACCGGAAGGCGTACGTTGATGCGCCGCGCGCGCTTTCCTCGTCCTCCAACGGCAGCCAAACGCGCAGCCAAAAGCGACGCACGTCGTGACGGTGTCGGACTGTCGGACGTCGTCGCTGTGGAGGACGCACTGCTTTCGGTACGTCCAAAAATTGCTGCAGGTGAACGTCTCTGCGCTGGTTTTGATGCGCGGGAAGAGATTTTTTTCCTGTGCGTGTTGCTGCTGCACTCGGCTGCCCCGCTCGCCCCAAGCCTGCGGCCGACCGGAGCCAGCTGTGCCGCAGCGGATGCTGGGCGCTCGGCTCAGTCCCGCCTGCTCCGGGGGCTGCTGAGCTGCTGTGCCCGGCTCAGTGCCCTGTCCTCATAAACTGGTCCGGGCCGGGCCGCCGCCGCTTGCTCCGACCTTCCACGACAGTCATTTCCATGTCCCTCCCGAAGACTGCAGCGCGCAACGAACGAGGACGCGGCGCCGCCAACTCGACGTGACAACACGGCTTGGCGCTCCGGAACTTTTATCGGTGTGTCTGCCGAACCCCTAGAGTCTGAGCACTGGAAAAACAAAGGTGCTATCTAATATGCCCTTATAGAGGTGTTAGTGAAATTGTGCCTTCACATTTACAAAGGTGCTACTCTGGAAACCCATGTGTGACTTCGGTGACTTGAATGCAGAATATTCTGCATACCTACATGTATGCAGGAAATTCTGTGTACTTGGCAAGTATAGGTATAGATAGTGTGTACTTGGTCAAGCACACACTAAAATCTCCATACACTTATGCAGGAGACTTAGTGTGTACTTGACCAAGTACACACTATCTCCTGCATACTTGACCAAACTATCTCCTGCATACTTGCCAAGTACACAGAATTTCCTGCATACATGTAGGTATGCAGAATATTCTGCATTCAAGTACACACTAGGGTTTCCAAAGTATTTTCAGCAATTCTGGTGACTTTGCAGAGGCATTAAGTCAGTAGCACCTTTAAAGGGTGTTGTGTTGCACTTTTGTTTTTACAGTAAGGCTACCGTCGCCTTCAGGTGCATCCGTGTGGACTGCTCCCTGATGACCGCCGCCGCCAGCTTTTTTCGCCCCTGTAAAGTAGGCTCCGCGTCGGTTTTGTGCACTATCTGCTGTGTGAGCGATGGGCCGAGCGCCATTCTATGTAAATGTGTGGCACACAGAGATAGGGCGGTCTCAATCGATGAGGCAACGGGGTGCGTTTGGGGGCCGCTCGGAGCACGCCTGCAGCGCCTGCAGCGGCGCCTTGCACTCCCACGAGAAATTACGCGTGCGTGGAAACTGAAGTAGTGAGTGATGTGGTCGTAGTGAAAGGTTTGTGCGTGCTGTGCGTGAATGTGTGCGTGTGAGCGAGCACGCGCGTGCGTGGAAACGAAGCCGTTTTGATTCGTGTTTGATAACGCAAGGTCAATAACGCAAACCGGCGCTTCATTTGCGAGTTTAAGGAGTACCCTCCGGGTAGAAACCATCTCTGACTTTCTGAGGGTAGAGGAAAAACTTTCAGCAGAAACTCCCATACACACCCAAAATTGTGCTCTGAATTCAGGAACTGTATCGAAAATTTTGAGACCAATTTCTTGTTTTAAGGATGAAATAGGAGATATAGTAAGAGCATGTTGTCAAAATTTTACGTTCAGTTCTTGAATTAAGAACACTTTTTTGGGTTTAGTTCAAGAAAAATTTCTCAGAACCTGAATTGGTTTTCTCCAGAAATGTTGACATTTCACTGTAAAAATAAATTTCGTGATTTTACGAAATTTTCTCGGTTAATTTTCTAGTACGAAAACTTCGTTTTTAACCAATTACGATACATCGTTATTTTACGAATTGCTTCGTAAAATCCAAAGCTCTAACTAAGGGGTATGAAATTTGCATATATTTTGTCAAATTTTATGACATATGACCCTAAAATTATTTGCATTCGTTACGAAATATGTTTGTAACTTTACGAAATGTTTCGTAAATTGGCCCTAACGAAATATTTTCGTAAATTATTTTTTACGAAGCATTTCGTAACACTTCTTTTCGTAAAATCACGAAAACGTTTTACAGTGTTGCTTCATATTTTGAAGACAGTTATGAGAAATTTTCCGTTAAGTGTATGAGAAGAGTGCCTTAAAGTTTTCCCTCATCCCAAAAGCAGATGTTACCCAACTGTGTGTGTTTTGCAGGCGATGTGCTGGGTGTCGGCGCAGGCCATCATGGTGCCCAGCGGCAAGGTGGGCCCCATCGTGCCCCCGACGCCCCGACCCAGGCGCACCGTGCCCTCGTCCACGTATGCGCCCGCCCCCGTCTACGAGGAGGCCGAGGACCCGTCGATCAACGAGGTGGACGGCGGGCCCCGCTACAACCCGCCCGTGTACCGGCCGCCCCTGCTCAAGCACCTGCTCCTCCGCTCGCACTCGCTCAAGTTCAGGCAGCTCTACGCGCATCAGCTGCCCGAGTACTTCCAGAAAGAGGTGAGGAGATAAGTCAACAATAAATTATAAGGAATTTAGTTGTAGTGCCTGCTCTGGAAACTCAGGTGTGAGACAGTCTAACACCAAATGGTGTTAGGCAAAATACCTCACACCAAACGGTGTGAGGCAAACATACCTCACACCAAATGGTGTGAGACTCATTGTGCCTCACACCAAATGGAGTGATACTTTCTCATACCAAATGGTGTGAGACACAGAGGGTCTCACACCATTTGGTGTGAGGCACAACTAGTCTTACACCATTTGGTGTGAGGTATTTTGCCTAACACCATTTGGTGTTAGACTGTCTCACACCCGAGTTTCCAGAGTGATGACCGGGCTTTGCCCCGAGTCATCGCTTAAAGTCATACTCGGAAAACTCAGCAGCCGTCAGCAGCAGTTAAATAGCCAAATAATTTTGCGTGATGTTATCTTTCATTTCATTGCAATTTTCGTCCGTTAAATTATCTTAATTATGGTCCATAAATATATGCTAGTTTACGGACAAACTGTGTTGCGTGCCCGCGCGAGGCGCTGCTATCTTCGCATGGGTGCCGCGTTAACCCGTCGAGTTTAGCCTCACTGGCGTAGATCCTCTGAAAATCATTACTATCAATAATAATCGTCCAATTATTTCGTTGTCTAATTTATCGCGCCTCGCGCCCCGCCCTTGAGTGGTGAGTGGTAATTGTAATGGAGCCACGACTTACGGCCTCTGGCCGGGGGCGGGGGGGGGGGGGGGGGGGGGGGGGGGGGGGGGGCGACGCGCGTGGGTGGGTCTGGACATTTGCATAGCAATGGCACCCGCCGCTCCTCGCCGCGCCGCTCTCGCTGCTCCCGATGCGCCGGTCGGGAATGACCATCTCTTGCAACACGTTTTGTGTCCAGTTAGTCGCCGTCTGGTTTCAACAGCAACAGACCAGCAGGCGTCCTCCATGACACGCCGACGTTATAGCCTCTTTCTCCCTCTCAGTCAGTTTTACTCTTTTTTGTGTGTGTGTTTTCCGAACTGAATTGGTCCGCGCACACGACGCGGCTCGACACATGTCGCCTCACCACGCGACATGAAGAGGACATATAGGAGTCGGAGAGAGAGAGAGAGAAAGAGAGAGAGGGGGGGGGGGGGTAGAAGGGGAATGCCCGTAAAAACGATACTACGCGCCATTGGCCGTCGTTGGCTCTGATGTGCGCTCAAACGGGTCGCAGTAGACATGAGCTGGACGAGAGCCGGCGCGCCGCTGTTTTGAACGAAGTCGTGGCGCAGATAGCTCGACGGACACGGACGGCCCGCTTCGTGTGGCCCCAGTCGTAAGCGGCTAATTGCATCGTCAGGGATGTATTGCGAGGTGGTCAGAATGTATCACGACTGCTGGATTAAAAAAACAAAAAACGTGTAGTAAGTTTTAGTACGCCTTACCGTCTATGTAAATTAATTAGTGCACGAAATGAAAAAAAGGATAAGCCAAATTAGCTAAATTCAAATAGCAAATTCGCACACATTAGCTTTCAAAGCTAGTTCCTTTTTTTCTTGCTGTTTTCTAACTATTATTTCGGTTTTGAAGTGTGTGGTTTGATAGCTCTTGTCTTCAGTGCTGCACTGTCATCCTCTCACTGATTTTTTGACCCCTTGTCAGTGTCAGTATTCCTGCTGCGTGAAAATCATGACAAGCACACAAGTACACAGTGGGAAACTTTCGTACGGGGTACAGGAAAATTTTCCATGGAAGATGTATCAGACTCTTCTGATACAGAAACGTGTGACATGGGTACAAATTTTTGAAATCTGATCAAGATGTTACAAAATTCTGGATGTGTTACTAATTTCTGGAACAGATACAAGGTATAGTCGTGAGGTTGGATGTAATTTTCTATATCACTGGATACAACATTATGGAACATTGTTGGTAAGGTCCCTGAGAGCCCCGGACGTATCACACGGGGTTCCTGCAGGTCTCCGCATGTAGCCTTAGTGACCGCGCGGGTAGTGACGCGACTTCCTAACTCAGAGGTCTGGTTCAACTCGCGGTTTGGTAAGCCCAAGGAGAACAGGTTAGTCACTTTCAAGTCATTTTGGAGTCTTTGACGTCCCTAGTGACATTCCTCGAGCCAAAATAGTGACTTTTTGATGTCCCTGTGACAATCGTGTTCTCCTTGGGAGGTACGTTTCCAGTAGCGTGAAGAAGTACAGAAGTACGTAAAAAATTATCTCGCAAATTTGCGCATGATAAGTAGGTGAAATCTTCACGGAAAAAGAAGATTAGTTGTCAGAGCGAATACCTTGGCTAATTCGGTGACAGACAAGAAATCCGCGGTGACTTCTAAGAACTAGTTGTCAGAGACAAGAGTAAGTATTGCCACAGCAAACTCGAAAATACGGGTTCGCTCTAGCAGCTAACTCGTGTGTCTGACTACTTATTCTTAGGTTATTTCACAGCGAATTTCTTGGCCGTCACCAAATTAGCCAAGGTATTCGCTCTGACAACCAATATATTTTTTCCGTTTTGAAGGTGCATGCGAATAGGTGAATATAGTTGAGCACATTCAAGTGCTCACCTTGCATTTAAACACTTTCTAGTATTGGACGTTTAAACTCTGTTATACTGTCTAGGTATCAATATTGTTCCCTTTTCTATCGGTTGATGCTTAACCGGATCCCGAACACTACGGTACTACGGTGGGGTGTCACAGCGCGGCTCGTTGCGCTGCTCTCCCAGGTGACGTGGTGGCGGCGGCTCTTTGTGAATATAGTGAAGCACGGCGAGCAAACGCGTTTGCAACAAATACCCGGAAAAGTGCGTGAGAGCATTAGAGGCGACACGGGGAAAGCAGCCGGCTCAGGGGAGAGAAGAGAGAGAAGGATGTGGTGGTGGTGGTGCTGGTTGCGCTCACCACCTCCTTTCCGTTCACAGTTGTTGGCAGAAGCATACAGTCGGCTTCTGCGCCAAGGCGATTCCTAATTAAATATCATACGAGACTCTGACTGCAGTCGAAGTACACTAACGTGTTGGCGCAGAATAAATGGAATTGCCACTAAAAGTTTTTCGCACGAGGACTATTGGGGGCGGATTGGGGTTGTAATTGTAAAAAGAAGAGTCTTCTTCCATTGTAATGAAGTGGTGTTACAATGCCTGTAATCTGGATGAATTTGAAACGATTGGTTACAAAGAGATGGTTAGGTGCAGAACGAGGTTGGGTTTGGAATGTAGGCCCCGCGGCGCGCCTGGCTTCCTCCCCGCAGCTGCACGATGCGTTTGCACTGAGATGGTGCTAGTTGATATGAGGGTGTTGCATTGCAGTGCGCTCGGACCGAGTAGAGGGGAGGATTACCGACCGGTGGGTGAATGAATGGACAGCTTCACACAGTCGAGTGGGCCTCCCGTGTTTGCCATCTGTGCGCATGACTTGCTATAGCAAGACATATCTCTGTTCGTCAACATCTCCTGAACGTCGAGAAAACGACCATATTGAGCCGTTCAGAGACGCGGTCGCAAGAGGACCTCGACAGGCACCTCGCCTCGAGTCAGCCAGCCCTCCGCCTTGAACTCGACGTCGCACCTCTTATTTTACAGCTGATTTCACGTCGTGGCACCGGCAGGCTTTATTATGTAATGAAGAAGTGGACTCGTAGCAAGCCTATCCCAATCAACCACAAATGTGTTATTCTATGCAGGACAACAAAGTAATCACCCTTTAAAACTTTGGCGTAGGAATTATAAATTGAATACTATTTTTTAACAAAGCTCTGTAAAAAAAACTCCGTATGAAACAGACCTCGTAGTCACAGAGTCTACTTCGCACGCTCAAATTGTGATCATACACACACAGTAAATATCGCCAGGCTGCTTCTGAACAGAGTAAATTTGGCCAAGCAGATGGCAGCGACCATCCTTTCGTACTAGAAACGGCATACGACCCTTTGTTCTATCATACTCGCCGCTGTAAATGTCCTTTTCGTATGTTCAATTCACTATTATCCGTGTTTGATTCTCTCTCATACACGTTTGTTGAATTTTTATTTGAAAATGCACGGGCGTTTTAAGCGCGGCATCTGCTCTTGCTTCATAAACGCTATATATAGGGGAAAGGGACGTTCTTGGCGTGTGGTTTGCCTCTGTCGTTACTTGTTACTTATACACGTTTTCGCAATGCCTTTCAGATCGTCGGCCAGCAGTCGCAGGTGCTGCCCAAGTACGACCGCGGGACGACGAGGGTCAAGCACTCCGACCAGGTACCTAAACTTGTTGCACTGTTGCAGTCCTATGGGTATCGCGTTCGAGACAGAGTAGTCCCCTCTCTGCCATCGGCGCCGGCGGCGCTTCGGCCCGGATTTATGGACGATTCTTATCGTCGTCGCGATGAAACGATTGAGAGGGGAGGGGGGAGTCGGGATACCCTTGGCCGTGTGTCGGGCACACGACAGTCTCGGCTGCGTCCGAAGGCGCTACGGTTACTGCCGAGGCGCGTCATCCGGCCTACTCGGACGCGGCCCGCGAGCGCTGAGCGGAATATAAAAGTGATCTTCTTCACTTGTTCAGCCAGTAGCATCCAAGGTTGCCTCCCCCATTAGACTCCACATCGCGTCATGCCGAACGCGGATTGACACTGTCCATCTGTTGAGCTTCTTACCAGCCTTCGCTGTTGTGTGGCACAGTACACACGTATTCTAACATGCTCAAAAGCAAAGAATTAAGAGGCCCGTGAGCCGCAGTGAACCATGACCAGTCTTTAGATTTCGCATTGTCCTCGCCTAGATAGGCTATCTGCTGCGTGTATCTGCTGCACCTCTCTCAGTAAAAACACCTCCCCGTGGGGCAACCTGGCCCGTGTGGCAACAGCGACGAGATGTCTTAAAATTGATGTCAGCAGGGTCCTCGCGAACGGCTCAGCTTTGAACTCTGCCCTTGACAGCTGCCGGCCGTTTTGACCGAACCGCATCATTAAAGTGGCCAACTGTAGCGGCGGGAGTGAAGGCGCGAGACGTTTGAAGAAAAGGATATGATTATCGAGGGGTTGAGTTACCTTTCGCATTGCGAGAAGAAGAGTAGTTCGTTGTGCGTAAGTTAAGGAGCTGCGTGAACCTGTGCGTGGTGTTGCAGGTCGTGCCTCTCGCCTACTACCGCCGGAAAATGTACTACTCCGGCTACCCTGATTACGACTACTGAGCGCCGTGCCGCGGATCCTAAAGGCGCTCTACACTCAAGGCCCAAAGGCGTTTGGCCTCAGTTACGTCTGCTCAGACCGCTGGAGAAGACGGCCCGAGAAGATACGAACAAATCTTGTCATTGACGACTATAGTTACCAACTTTACCTGACGTACTAGTGAATAGTATATACAAGTGACTGCCCTAAGTACACATTATTCCACAAAGAACGAACGCATTACGAGAAATAACAGAAGAGAGCAAGTAAAACTATTCGAAAAAACGTTAGACTTTACACTAAGGAACATGACATGAACAGCTTGCTTGGTTAGTGAGTGACGACAGTGTTATACCTCAATCGCGTATTTGAAGAGATTTAGGTTTATGATTCAAAGCTATGAATTTTAAGAGAATTTTCTGAAAAGTTTGCAATTTACCAGCTCATTCCTTGCCTGGAATGTCAGGAATGTTTCAGTTTGAGTGTATTTTAAATATTTTTTGACGCGAAGAAATATTATCCTGAATTTTTGTAGCCAGTACAATGTTTCATATCAAATAAGTTTAAGGTACAAATGATGGAACGATTTGTCGCCTCCCGGGTGGGAAGGTGGTGCTTGCCATAATTGTTTGCTGCATTTGTGGCTGTCAAAATATTTATTTTTGGTCCACGATGGGCAACTAAGTTTCATCAAAGTGATTTTCCCTCTGAAGAGCAAAACAAAACTAGCCATTATCACACGTGAAAATGAAAATTGACGACGGACGAACCAAACCCCCCTTCCACTGGATGATCCACATCGACAATGCTCATCCGTCGCCAATCTTCTTTCTACTAGCAACCTTTTGCTCTTGTCTTCAAATCAACAATATTTATTTTTTAAAAATGTTTGCACTAAATAGAGTGAACTAAATGCCATGCTCTGCAAGAATTATTTAGTGTAAGACCAATAAAAAAATACAAAAAACATCTATGTCGCCTTTCCTTTCATCCCTATTCCAGGAAAATACTATGCAAATACACAAGTACCTGACAACAATAAAACGTCAGTGGCAAATGTTAGTTTTCCTTCCTTCACTGTTACAAATTATGTCGTGACTTGGTGAAAAATGTCGTGTTATTATTTGCTACAAAAACTCTTCGGAATGTTAAAGCAACAACACTGTTGGAAGTTTTTTCGTAATTTGACGAAAAATGTCCTGTTAATTTTTCTACACAAACTCTTTGTTATTTTAAGGTAACGAATACATTCGTAAAATGACGAACAGTTTGTTACTCGGTTGTTGTCCTAAAAGAACGGTCCTGACGAAACGAATAATTCTCGTCAATTTCAATAACAAACTACTCGTGACAGAATATTGTCGTGAAATGACGAACTTCATTAACAGTGAAATACATTCTCAAAATAAGGAACACTTTGTCTCAGTTTCTACTGGAAGAACGACCCCGGGAACTGGAGTGTTGGAAGCAAATTCTCTAACGTCCCGATGAATTTGACACTATTAAATGATAAATGATGTGATTTTACGATTTTGCACCTCTACGATACAGTTAGTACTCAAAGTTTGATGAATACTAGTTATTTTCAATTAAGAACTACCCGTGGCAGGTAAAATCGTGAAAAGGAAAGACAAAATTCTTTTAAAGTAATAATAAAGAGGAAATACAATACATGTAGAAAGTTTCGGCTTTTTCTGTCTGCGTTGGTCCGTTGGACTACCACAATCTTTTGAGAATATGGTGGGTCAGAAAATTACCTAAGCATTGTGCTGCACTGATAAACTAAGTGTGCTACTGCAAGTCCTCTTTTAACTTTCTTAGATTAATCGCTCACTGTTAGGAAGTGCTCAACAGAGGACATGCCACTTACAAGGGCACTCCTACCGAGTTGGACACTTTCAAGTGTACTGCGACGGAGTAAAATTGTTACCCAGTACCACGGAATTATCGTACGTCTAGAATTGTACCACAGTCGAAATAAAGATACGGACTATTGGTGCGATGTACGAAATGAGAAATTATTCCATCCCTCAACCATTTTCTTTCCTCGAAACCAAAACTCTCATGGACTAGCTATGGTGGTGAAAGCAAGGAACCACTGATTTGAATTTAAACAGGAATCGAAAACATATGACGTAATGTTAGATACTTCAAATTAGATAGAGCGGCGATTTTAAAGATTTGAACTACCCTTTTACGACTTAGCACCCACCTGGCAATTTTGGGACGTTTAGGGCCGGTTGAGGGGGATCGCCCCCCCCCCCAATCCGCGCCTGGTGGGTGCTAAGTCGTAAAAGGCTAGTTCAAATCATAAAATGGGAGAGGAAATGCCCCAAATCACAATGTTCGAGTTGGTATATCACTTTGTCGAGGCAACGGCACCTTTAGAATCACAATATAACTTAATATTCTTTAGGCCCGCAGTAAAGAATAACGTTGATAAACTGTGACTTCGTTGTTCAGTTTTTCAATGGCTTTTGTTACGTATCAATTTTTGTTCAAGAGTAAAATGTTTGTTTCTCAAATCAATCATGTGCTTAGTGACAGAGGTCACTTTCACACAAATAAAAAACATTGCTGTTACGCAATAAAAAGTGTTGTTGTCAAAGTCAGTGTAAAACTGAACAATTTATTGCAAATGAACAACATCATTTTGATTGTGCACTTGCCACTATCCCTGACATCCCTAAACACGTACCATTCGCTACGTAAACAGGCGGGGTTGGGGCGTGTGACGGTTGCCCCGTGATGCTAGGCAACCCAATTGACTGAGCTGTTTGGTTGGCACGCCCCTGAAGGGGTAGCCCATCGTGCATCTCTTGGCTGGCTACCCCGGGAAGCTAGGCCACCTATTCGACACACCACCCAGCGCCCTGCAACAGGCAACCTATCTTACTCTGGGAAGTGGCACTCGCGCGCGGTGTGGCGATGGCGATGCGTCCACAGGCTTATGCGGTACGACCGCTTATTTCGAGCTGGATTTTGTTCTCTGGAAACCCAAGTGTGTAAATGTATGCGTCATTTGCTGAATACCTACATGTATGCAGCAAATACTGTGTACATGACCATGTATGCAACAAATACTGCATACATGGCCAGGTACACACTTAGGCACATAGCTTTTAGGATAGAGCTCTACGTGTGTACGTGGACATGTATGCAGTATTTGCTGCATACATGCTCATGTGCGCAGTATTTGCTGCATACATGCTCATGTGCGCAGTATTTGCTGCATACATGTAGGTATTAAGCAAATAATGCATTCATGTACACACTTTGGTTTCCAGAGTTTGCATTTCCACAATCTTACACTGTGAGAAACTTGTAAGAATCACAAGAACATTTTCCATGATGTATTTTGGAAAAAATACAATTGAACATTTAAAAATTACGAGCACTCTGTACCGACGTAGAATTTATGGGCGAGCTTCAAACAACATCTCATATTTTGTAAATATAAAATGTATTCTAAATGAACAAAGATTTTTCAAAAAGTAAAAGTAAACCTTTGGGAGCAAGTTTGTACAGGGCAAAGGCGTTCCTCCTTCCTTAATCTATCTTGTACTGCATGCAGGCGTGCGGGTGGATTGCATACTCATACGGGGCCCAAGGTGCCGTGGGGAGCGACGGAACGAAAGGCCGCCAGCACGCCTACTTGCGGTACAGTGATAGCAAATTAAAGGAAGAAGTCTATGGACCACCCCGTTTTTTGGAAGGATAAAAGCAGATAAAAGTCATAGTATATTTTTCTATTATTATCACAAAACTTTGCAACCAGAACTGTACTTTGGCGCGCCATAACTACGTCCACTGTGGATGTCAGTGATTGTGATTAGAGAGGTGATTGTTTCTGGCCGAGGACGCCTAGGCTCACGCTCTGCTAGTCGAGCTGGGCGGAACAGTACGAGGCAGAGACGTACCAAACACAACTTGAAGGGCTTCAGCCGCTGCTCCCGGCAGGACTGGTGAACGCTGAATTAAAAGTAGAAGGGGTTCGCATTCCTCTGCAATCAGCATGGCATGGCGGGCGACAATTGTATCCGCCATCAGCCTGGCTGCCGCCGCGGCCAAGGGCGGGTCATTGTGACGGTCCTTTCTCCAGTTCAACTTGTCTTTTTCTTACGAGCTGACCAACACTTCTATTCTTTTCGCGCGCGCTCGCTTGCGTCATCGCAGCAGATTATTGCATATCCATCGACGCCCACATGTGGGCATTATTTTGGGGTTTCTCTGGTTACTTTTCTGGTTAGAGTATCAATTATGAACGACTTAAAAGAAGACACCCTCATATTTTTGGTGTCTGTTATAGGTTCAAAGAATGCCTTATATTCGTTGTGTCGCGGCTCGTAATCGACGGTGGTGAAATCGCCGGCCCCCACCGCCCGCCTACTTTCTTTCACGCGTGATAAGCACGTGGACATAAAACGTAAAATTGGAGGGATGCGTCCGGAGACACTTTTGTCAAAAGGGTTAGACGCCGGCCGATTCGAAAACGACCCTCGACCGCTGCGCATGGGCGCGCCCGTGCGGGTGATGTCCATCCAGTGCTTCATATTGTGGACTCGTGGGAGACGTTTCGGCGGCGCCTCGGCCCAGCCCGGCGCGGCTTTGACGCGGTCCCGTCGCCGCCTCAGTGTAGCCTGGCGCGAGAGAGGATGGACCGTCCATGCTCTGTCGCAATCCCGAAAATGACCAAGGCGGGGCCGGGCGGGGCCGGGCGGGCCACGGGCTCCGTACGCGTCGCGTTGCGAGAGCCGGTGAGTCCCCATCGCGCACTGTATCATGATGTGGCCGCCAGACAAGTCGGGCAGGGGTGTCGTCGTCACGGTGGCTATGGGGAGAAGCGGCGGCCGCGCCTCCAGGCTCATGCGGATCGATATCTGAGGCTCATATCTGAGTAACTCATCGCTGCCGCCCAGCGAACGGTCGACGCCGTACGGGTGTTCGACTTTTGCCTACTCAGAATCGTTAGCGATACCCAACTATTTGCAATACATTTTTGTAACGTTGTGATCATTATATGAACTACTGCCTGATTGAATATGCGTAATTTAGATCGTATTGCTCTCTCATTACCGGCCGAACTGGCACTGAGTAGCAATTAAACATATTCACTGCTATTGAGGGATGATATTTTTAGCTCTCATCTTTGCAGATGCAGTTTAAATATGTTTAAATATCGCGCGTTACTCGCGGTCGACCAAGATAAAAGGACGCTTGCGTCACGCGCGGCTCCGTCTCGAACAGCAGAACTTGAAACGCGACAAAAGTGAGTGACCTTTAATTTGTGGCAAACGACCCCTGCCGCTCCCCCCCCCCCCCTTTGGACTTTTATTTTGGTGCCCGCTGCCCGTGACCGGCGCCGGCGACGAAATGACGACCAGCGGCGCAAGGAGTCATTGAATGCATTGCGATGCAAACGGTTTACAAGTAATAAGGTAACGAGGGCGGAACCATTGCGGCCGCGGGGGCCCTTCTCGTTTGTCGGCGCCGCAAGACCTTGCCACGCCCCGCCACGCCCCTCTAGATCGCCACCCACGTCGCCCAAGCCTTCGATGCACCGCACGCCGGGAGGGGGGGCTAGACGTATCGGGACAGCGCCATTCGGTGACATGTTGTGGGAGGCGGTCGGGTAGAAGGGACAGGTGGCGTACTCAAGGCAATGTGTACACACACACACACACACACACACAAAGTGTGTATCGCCCAAACTTTATTTTCAACGTGTGTAAGACCTCTAGTGAGCAGCTGTAAACATGGACCTGCACTGAACGAACTGGCCAGCACAAGGGCGTGCATCCTACTGCTGCTGGTGTTCCCCATCGGGACCAAAGCTCACGCAGCCCGTCTTTGTGACATGGTCCCGGGCCTCGCGCGCGGGTGCAAAACCGTAACTCCGTAACTCGGAGCGCCAGAGCGCCTCACAGTGCCTGCCCATCAGTTTAGACGGCGGACACTGCGCTCTATTGCAGCAGGGCAGAACTACGCTGATGACAAATAGAGGAACTGTTTGGTTGGTGCTCAACAATTTGTACACTTGCAAGTTCCTCAACTAAACAAACACATGGGCTCACAACCGCGCCGATCACTTTTGCAAGTGGGCAGAGTTGTACACTTGAAAGTATTAGTCGGTCTTACATTTGGTTTGTCAGTGTATCGCGCCCAAGCAGGGCGAGCAAGAGGCTCCACGACGACGGACTGCGGCGCCGCCGGCGTTGTTGTTTCCTCCGCTAAACAAAGTCGTTCGGCGGGATGTTTTTCCGTTAAAGCCCCTAACTAATGAACGGCTTTAATGCACGGCGCCGGTAGTAAAGACCTCCAATCGTCACGTCGGGACGCGTAGCTAAGCCCCCACTCACGCTCAGCCCTTCTCTGTCTCTCCCCCACTCGCTCCTCTCCCACGTTGCCCTCTCGCTCCTACACATGTTGCCTGGCGCGCCGCCGCCGCATCGGCCTCAACACACATTTCATTTCATTTGGTGGCGCTTGCCTTTCTGTTTGGGCGCCCCGCACTGAAGCCAGCATCGTTATGAGCATTGCAAAAAGTAATAGGGAAAGGTTTTGAGCTTGCCCGGTTTGTAATGCAGACATTTTAAAATGTGTTTTTTTTAATACGCCAGTATGAACAAATTTCAGTATGAATCATAAGATCTTACTAGATATTTTTCACTGGAAGTGTTTTGGCATTTTAAAATGTCCGCATTATAAACTTTTGGGAAGGGTTCAATACAGTGTAATACCGAGTACTTACAAGTTTTCTTATAGTAAATACCGCTTGGCAGTCGGGTGCGTCGCTCCCCTCCGTCAGCCGGAGTTCATGCCGCACCCGAAGCTGGCACGTCGCCGCCTCTCATCTTACTTCTATTTTAGCACCTTGCGGGTCGATGTGGGTCTGGGCGATACGAGCAAGGCGTGCCACAACACTCTGTGCGGGGATACACAGTCAAATTGTTTTCCCATATGAAACGCGTTCGTTAATGACCAAGCTAGGTGATAAAACGCCGGCGGGCGGTGCACCGGCGGCTCGCACCCGCTATTTTTGGCCCATTCCCATAGCCTTGCGTTAAAACTGTAAGTGCGCCCCTGACTTTGGTAGTTGCTTTTTGCATCGCGAGCGGAAGGCGGCATTCGAGGCGGCATTACTTGGCACCTTTTCAGGGGGGACAATCATTTTAATGCTTCTACGATAGGTCTATTAAGCACGTTTTTGTCACGTCCTAAAATTTTGTGCGGTTCTGTTCAAACGTCTGAATTGCTTTGAACTTTAGACGCTTCGACCCCTCACTGCTGACGCTGTACCTTTGTTTTCCCGATAACTAGTGGACCATAATGCCCGATAATGCCTCGTTCGGCCTGAAAACTGCAAACGCGCTTGTCTGTCCCTCCTCTGCGCGGGCGCAGGATTGACTTGCAAAGCTCTGCACGATTTGCCTCGGCCGGCGATTGAGCTGACATACACGACCCGCTCAATGATGGTTTATTCGAGTTTGAGGCAGCAGCATCCCTCGAGACAATGTCGCGTGATGCAATGAGACGGGTCGGGCAGGCCTATCTATCGCTAGCGTTGAATAATTAATAGCAACCACTAAACATAGGGCAGTGAGCAATATCGCGCGCATTTGCTGTAATCCAAATAATGGGTGGCGTTATGCATAACGGACCAAAAAACAATTTTCATCAATATCTTGTGATTTCCTAACACTTGCTCGCTACGGAGGACCTGTAAAATCGCAACACTTTTTAGTCAAAAACCGTACATTTTTCCATCTTAATTTGAAATAGTTGTGGACAAATAACCGTAATATGTCAATTTTTTTATAACTAAGAAGAGTTTTGAGTTTTAGCAACATTTCCACAGCTCTTTTTTCGTGAAGAGATTTCTTCGTGAAGTGCTGACTTTTTAACAGTCTTAAAAACAATAGGACAGCCGTCGCACTGTGAAATAAAATCTCTACGTAAATTTTCAACATATTTTTTATTTGCGGTTTTCAAAAAAACGACAAACATAATAATTTTACAATTTCAAATTCTAATTTTGCAACACATTTATTATTGAAAATGTTCCTGTAACCCTTAGTATTTCTCGAGTGCAGTGAGCTGTAAAACAGCCAATATCTGTAGTTACACTGGCTGAGCTGTCACTGTCACAAATTGTGCTATAGACTCAAATCCATTTCTTCATTCGTCTCATTTTTTTTCTTGTAAAGTTGCATAGTCTAAGTGCCTGCTGAAGGTTCGGCCCGGTCTAACGCTCCTCCATCTATCTCTTTGGCGCACACCTGCTGTCCACGGCCCGGAGGCCCCTGGCCGGGCCGGTGGCGCCCGGGCAGCTGGCAGGAGCGTTAAAAACGAACCGACGGCCAATCAGGGCAGCGACCTCGTGTGCGTAATCCGGAGGGGTAGATAGATAGATGTGCCAGCGGACAGATGATCGAACAACTCCCAACCCATACGTGAGAGCAAGCAAGAGACAATCACTCTCATTTTGGCCCACACATGCAAGTGTGTGTTATTGCCTAGCAGTCGAATATTTACGCAGAACAGAAATGCCTCTTAAGCCTCACTCGGTTGACGCACGTTGTACTTAAATACACGCAGTTTTCCGATAACTTTTGCATGTTTCCAACTTTTTACAATCACACTCAAAGATTGCTTCGAACAGACAATGCGTGGGAGGGATTAGTGCTTATGTGTCGCAGAGCAGACATAACCGTTTGGGGGACGAGGGAACAGCGACGGGCGGGACATATTCAGAGATGGACATTGCCGATACTTCCAGCGCACAGGCTAATAGGCGCTGCCATGTCTTGCAGCAGGTCCCGTTCGGTAGCGGCGGTTGTGTCGAAACCGACTCGCGGCCTCCAGAGGAGCTCTCTTACTTTTGTGTCCGTCCGCCTAGTCGGGTGGGTGTCGTTTGCTGAGCTGATCAGTCGCCGGCAGAGTTATTGATCACTGCCTTTCGCCGCGCTCTACCCTGCAAATTGAAAACCGTGTGTCGTGTGTTCGAGAGCGGACACAACAGTGTTGCGGGATTGCATACTCCCTAGAGCCGCCTGGTATAGATAGCACGTTTTTAAACTGCACTGTGAAGAAAAAAAAAGAATTTGTTGTAATTTACGAAATATGTTGTAATTTTGCGACAGCCCATTCTTGCTTATCGATCAATTCCAAGTCGATACGAAGTACTTGTAAATTTACAATTTCAAATTGTAATTTTACGACTCATATATAGAAATTTTCCTCGTAAATCTACTACTATCTTTCAGGGTGCTGACAAAAAATATTTTACGTGGCATCAATTAAATCTTATCACTGTTCTTTTTATAATTAACTTTTTGGTAATATATGAACTAACATACAAAAATGTCCTATAAATGAGTATAATCCGGGCGCCGTGGTATTCTTTCGCCACAGACGATGCCTAATAGACACGCTCGGCTGTCACTGCCCGGCGGCCCTCCCACGCTCCGCTGCGCTCGGCCAATTATATCGCGATACCATATTTATTTATTTTTACTTTTTTATTATATTTTTTTGCAAAGAGTCTTGAAAGAAGCTGGCCACCCGCGCAGATTTGGATTGCAATGGATCAAGGAGCGACGGCCATCACTTTACTATGGGTCGAGCGTTTGCGGAATGAAGCGTGACTAGCACACGGTGTCGGGCAGAGATCTCTCCTCAGCTTACTAACTATGGCGTGGCGCGCGCACCCGCACACAGCCACGCCCGTAATTCGTAGGACTGCCGCGTGGTATGGTGTTGCCCACTCCAAAATAAATAATTAATTTCCCTTTTTGCTGTGGCAGGTCGGAATTAATTCCCTGGGAATCAATCATCGCGCGCGCGCGCGCTCACACACACACACACACACACACGGAGCGTGCCTGGTGCCGCCGGACACACGGACGCACAGCCTCGTCCCGCTCACGACGCCGCCGCCGCCCTTGGCAGGGCTCTGGTCCTCTCCACGACCGTCCACGCCCGCCTAGAGTGTGCCTCCCCGCTGGTTCAAGTAAGTTGGCACGCTGCTGATCCTACACCACTAGGACGATTTGGTTTTGTCAAATGACGAGGCCAACCGGGGATCACTGTCCGTCAAACTCCCCCGACATTGCCGCCCGCCTGCTTGTTAGTGTAATTAACTTTTACACCTGTTTGCGGCAAATCTCTTACCTTGCACGTGCGCATTTCTCTCGAATTCTGCTCGAAATTGTGCTCTCATTCTGTAGTATTTGGATGGGGGGGGGGGGAGCCCCACAGCAATTGAATTCCCAGCACGTGCTGCAGTAGGCAGACAGGGAGGGACGCGCAAGACTGTTCGCCCACCTCCATCAAGGAATGAATATCATGTGGCGCCTTCAGGCCGGACAGTCCATGAGGACCACTGTGTGTTGGGCAACGCAGTCGTGCGCGTGTGTATGGGTTTCCTTTTCGGCCTCCCATGAGTGCTGCCCAGGGGCCCAGCGCGCCCTTGTATCTGCGCGCCTAGCTATCGTCCCACCGTGCGTGCAAGTCTCTGCACAGTCAGTAGAGTCAAATTCAGGACAAGTCAGAAAATGCTAGTAATTTCAAAGAAGCTTGAGTACAGACGGTCAGAATAAAAATTTTTGAAAAAGTGAACAAATTTTAAGTAACTAGTTTTTCCGTTCAATTGAAAGTTTGTACATTCTATTCTATCGTCTAACCCAGGGGCGTAGGAACGATTTTTGGCTAGGGGGGGGGGAAAGCTTAAACGACCTTTTTGGCGCCCCCTTACGGCGACTAGCGCCCCCCCCCCCCAAAAAAAAGGGCTTTTCAATTAATGAAAATTATATTCTTGCCGTTGTCTCAAACACATGTATTCATTTCCACTTTTCCTATTTAAAGGCTCTTTCCCCCGTATTTTTCTTGTGTATTAAGAAGTACAGGGGCAAACAACTATCTCCCGCTCCTCTCAAAAAGAGTCACTCAAAAATGTGCTATCATTTTTCAATAGATCTTTATCGTTTAAATGCACGAGAAAGTGGCAGCGAACGAAGTCTGATGCGTAACTGTTATGTTTAGAAAATGAGCATATGACATGAAGTCGTGCCTACATAGAGGCAATGAAAAACAACGCGAGCAAAGCGAGCGCGAAAATTTTTTGGTGATTGGGGCACCAAAATCCCCACGGGATGAGGGAGGGGCGCCTTTTTGCGCCCTTTCAGGGGGCATTCTGGCGCCCCTTCGGGGCA